CGTGGGATGATCTCTGCTAAAATATTATTTCCCACACTCCTCCTTTTTAAGTATCTCAATTTGAAATTTCCCAGTAGCAAAATGTTTGAGGCAGGAGTTGGGAGATTTTCTAGACAGTGGTCAATTTTCAAAAGCTATTCCTGGAATTGCTGGGAAGCTGCATCCGGAAGCTTGTATACAGTCACAATGACAAGGTTTTGGTTTTCAATCTTCACTGCCAAAACTTCAACTACATTATTTGAGGTGTTTAGTAGTTCTGAGCAAATGAGCGACTCTGTGACGTACAAGTCAACCCCATCCCCCTTGTTGCTTGCTTTGTCGCATCTGAATAGGTTATAACCTGGGATCTATATTTTGTTTTCAAAATGATCGTTTATGTGGGTCACTGAATCCTGCAAACATTGGATTTGACTCTGTGAGCAGTCCCTTGATGTCAGGAATTTTGTTGTTTGTTGGCAGCTTTAGACCCTGTATGTTTGCAAAGGCTAATGTTATTAAATTAATGGAATTTAGGGGAAAGTTTATTGCTGGCTCTAGTATCTGTTGTTCTGGAGTGGAGGCCAATGACTGTGCCTCTGCTCAAAAAGTGTTTTTAGTTGGTGTAGGATTACTGTCATTTCTTGCCAGTCTTTTTTTCTTCCTGACACTAAAGAACCTCTTTCTCTGGAGAGGTTATGGCTCCACTCTTTTGTTTCCCATAGTCTGGCTGGTCTGTGTCTTCTTGTCCCTTTTAGATGATGTGCCTGGTAGTATACATTGTAGCATTTTCTTTCATGGAGTGATGCGTAGCACATTTTAGGGTGAAATAAGTTACAGGAAGGGGAGTTGCACCCTCCTGTTGTCATGTGGGTGCGGCATTTTTTGGGATGGTCAAAGGAGCATATCCTACCTGTTTTACCAGATATACCATGCCTGCAGATGCCCAAGACAAAGAATGGAATTTTGTTTGCTAGGATTTTTTTGTAGCTGCATTCGCTGCTTGTGCATTTTTTCTGTTTCCCCTCTACCTACCGCCCCTGTATGGACATCAATGCATCTACCAGTTTTACTGGTAATGTGTCAACACTATTCCCCAAGGCATCATCCCCTTTTGTTCCATCTCCAACAGTATGGCTACTTTGTACCCCTGTAAAGTGAATAGATTTGTCTTTACCTGTTTCATCACCAGGGCCACTATCTCCTTTTAGTGCACTGTCCTCTAGGACAACACTAGCAACCTCTGGAGCACTGTCTTCCAAGACAACCTTGTCCAACCCACTAATTTTATTTTCCCAGCTGTCATACCATGCTGACATGTCTTTCAAGAAGAATATTTTATTGGTGTTCATGTCTTTAACATAGATGTAATTTCCTCATGGAAATATAAACACATATGCAGTATAATGTGATCCTTTATTGACTACGTTTCGCCCACACAGTGGGCTTTTTCAAGTCACAAACAGATCTGTTTGTGACTTGAAAAAGCCCACTGTGTGGGCGAAACGTAGTCAATAAAGGATCACATTATACTGCATATGTGTTTATATTTCCATTGTGTCGGTATTTTATACCATTTATTTCCAATGTAATTTCCTCATACAGACATAACTCGTTTAGGCAGACTAAAAAACATTTCTCTGATTTTATATCAAACATGGTCTCTGTTTTAGAGTTCCTGCACAACCCAGGGAACCATTTACCACAGAGACGGCAAACAATCTGGGCATAACTTCGTCCGTTACCCTTTCTGCAGACTACACAGATTTTCATGGTGGTGGATTTGTGAAGGACGTGCCTAGTATGGGCCAACAGGCCTGCTGCCATGTTCCTCCTTTCTTATGCTCTCAAATCACATTAAATAATGATCAGTTTACATCTTCTGAACAGCTTCAATATTTAATGGCTGATGCATGTGAGAGCTACGATAATACCTGTTGTGTCTCGTTTTACTGCAAGCATATTTGTGCAATTACATCAGTTATTGGAGAATGCATTTCTTGATCGGATTCAAACTTTTACCATTGATAGGCTTTATTAAAACACAGCTTGTCACTCACTTTTAGTTGTTAAATTTCAATTTGCCAATTTTATTAAGCAAATTATTTCCCTTGTAATAGTGAACACATCTTCTGATCGGCTTCAAACCATAAATACTGGAGTATCTTAATAAGAATTTTGTTTTTATATTAATTTTAAACTGTATTGTTGCCAGTTTATATTTTCTGACAGTTTTATAAAACTGGATTTTTTCAATAAGTTATAAATTTTTTTTTACAAGATTATGAAGAATTAGAAAAATAAAAATTCTTGGCTTTATGTTATTTTTAAGTTTGATACGGAAAAACTTTCCTGTATTTCGGAACATTCTCGGCAACATTATCATTAGTTTCTCAAATTTTTGTTTATTACTCGAGAGAACATCATTCGACCAGCTTTTAATTTTGAATATCTGTGTTATGTATCTTGAGGAAGATCCACTGGACAATTTGCATGCCTGGCTGACCTATGCACGATGCTACATAGGCCGTTCCCAAATTTTTGTTTTCGTGTGAGTGGTGGAGACGGGCTCCTCCGAATGGATTAAAAATATCATCACCGGCGTATCCTACTTACAAGAAAGTTAGTATATTTAATGAAGTATATTGATGCCATTTTGCCACTTTTAATCTCGAAAATGTATTGTATTATTTTACCTTATTGCATTATTTTTCTTGGTACTGTTGAGGAACTCTTAACTGCTTCCATCGACTTCGAATTTCTCCCATTCCACGTGGGCCATATAACCCCTACGGGTTTGCACTTTACTCTGAGTAAAATATAACAATTGTTAAGGGTATCAACCTTTAATGGTTGATGCACCGTATGAAGTGGATGGATCTTTTCATGGGTTGATGTAGTAGTAGTGTTGGCACAATATATCTGGACTTCCGCAATATCTGGAAAATGCATCTTCTGGTCAGCATTCAAATTTTCTTGCTGATGTATTTTTCTGCTGATGTATTTTTCTGCTGATGTATTTTTCTGCTGATGTATTTTTCTGCTGATGTATTTTACTGCTGATGTATTTTACTGCTGATGTATTTTACTGCTGATGTATTTTACTGCTGATGTATTTTACTGCTGATGTATTTTACTGCTGATGTATTTTACTGCTGATGTATTTTTCTGCTGATGTATTTTACTGCTGATGTATTTTACTACTGATGTATTTTTCTGCTGATGTATTTTTCTGCTGATGTATTTTACTGCTGATGTATTTTTCTGCTGATGTATTTTACTGCTGATGTATTTTCTTGCTGATGTATTTTACTGCTGATGTATTTTTCTGCTGATGTATTTTTCTGCTGATGTATTTTACTGCTGATGTATTTTTCTGCTGATGTATTTTACTGCTGATGTATTTTACTGCTGATGTATTTTTCTGCTGATGTATTTTTCTGCTGATGTATTTTCCTCAGAGTAAACAATCTATTGATGTTAACTTGTTCAAGTTATCATGTATCAATTTTATCAGTCAAATTAATTTCTGAAATAATTGGAGAATATCTCTTCTGATCAGAAATAGTCTTTCGAAGAATAATTAAGTCTCTCCTCGTTAAACTTAAAAACGCCATGAAAAAGTAAATCTTTATTTTTTCCAGTTCTCTTTTCTCAGTTACATTTTTTTTAAATTTCTACAATCCTTAAAAAATATTTGATTTTGTTTTGTTTTTAAAAAATGAAATTTGAAAAAAAAAAAAAAAAAATCTTGTCGTCCAACTGGTGTCAACACAGCTCAAAATTAATACTAAAATAATTCCTATTAAGAAGCTGATAAAAAGAATCATGCTTTAGTTATTTTATGGCACACAGTTTATTAATATTTTTATGGCAAACAGTTTAGTTAATAAAACTGACAAATTGAAATTTACTCATCTGATAGTGTCAAGTTGTGTTTACATACTGACCACTAATGGGAAAAGTTTGAAGCTAATTAGAAAGGGCATCCTACAGAAGTTGAAACAATGCAACAATTTCAATTATTTTAATTATGTCAGTAAAATTTAAAATTTCCGCCTTATGGGTTATCATCCTTACAGATTGTATCATCATTAATATTTTGAAGCCAGTCAGAAGAAACATTCTTAGTTATTGAATAAAGTGAATATCAATATGTACTCAATAAAATTGTCAGATTGTGACTTAAGTCACTCAACATCAGAGTGAACCTAACGTTCAGAAACAAAGATAGAGGTGAAAATTAGAAGTCGATCTGATGAGTCATTCTCCAGGTATGTCACGATTCCAACGATTCTAATTTTTTTTTATTATTTTACTACAACAATTTGCCTTCAGGGAAACGAAGGTTAATGGATATTATCCTGATCTTAAGATGTCAAACTGAAATTTATTTAATGTGATTTAATGGGAATTAAAATTTCTCGTTATTTTACATGTAAAGCGTCAGATCTGCGCCAACACACTCTTTGTTGTCGTTGTATTAAGAAGCGCCATGTTCTGAGAGCTTGAAGATACACCACTGAGGGTTTTGGAAGTTATCCCAGCTATTCCAGGATACTGGTAATGGTTTCCACAACTTGTCGTAGGGCACGTAAACTGACCAGTTGTTCTAAGATTCTGGTCCTCATTAGTGTACATAAGTACTGAAAAAAAATGAAATCGAATGAATGAGAGTTGACAAGTCATGAGCGAAATATAATCGAAAAGTTGGAGGAAGAAAAAAGAAAAATTAATGAAAATTCAGGCAACTGTAAGATCCCCTTTCAGGGATACTTAATTATATACCGTCCCACAATATATCACCTGCAGATGTATACCACCCAGAAAGTGTACCGAAATAAGTACAATGTTTTTATCCATCACAGGATCATACCGGGGACCTTCGGTTGTAAGGTGAAGGTGCTACCGTTGAGCTATGAGCCTTATATGTCTCCAAAAGCAGGTGTTTTCTGTTTCATGTCCTAAGCGTTATTTCCTCTCTGCACAGGTGTCTTCTAACATGTGTATGTTGCTCATGACAGGCATGAGCGTAGGCGTTGATGTGTGGTGTGATCAAGGGAGTGTGGGCGGTGGGTGGACGGTGGTAGTTGGGCGTCGGGCGGGTCACCACCCACTCATCAACTTCACTAGGCCACATCTTCATTACACCCACGGCTTCGGTGACCCAACCTCTCACCACTGGATAGGTAAGTCCCACAGACATAGTCCATCACCTTGTGTGTTTACACCAGTGACTCCTGTGTTGCAGCTCTGGGCCAGAAGTATGACTAACTTTCAACATAATGGTTATGTCTTATTATGGAGTCTCTCATAGTTAGATATATTATATTAATTTTATATCAAATGCACTAATAGTCTTTTGTGTCCTTAATTACATCAGGCTGCGGGTTTTAAGCTCCATTTCATGGACTCACCTTTTTAACTCGCTTGAATAACCCTGTTGTGATGCAACATACTTCTGAACCTGTGTAGGAACTTTACCTACTCTAATTCCTCACTCTTTGCACTCTTCATTACTTTTTTTACTAAAAAAAGTTTCATTAATTCCTCACTCTTTGCACTCTTTATTACTTTTTTACTAAAAAAGTTTCATTAATTCCTCACTCTTTGCACTCTTCATTACTTTTTTACTAAAAAAGTTTCATTAATTCCTCACTCTTTGCACTCTTCATTACTTTTTACTAAAAAAGTTTCATTTGTTAGCGTATTTGTCCTCTTTCTTGCCCCCCTTATTTATGTCAGTCTGTTCTTGTCTGTACTACTGATGTGAAGCTCCAAGGTCTCTTGAGGATGTTGATGTGCACCTCCTGGGCCTTTTGAGGGTGGAGACAAATGGTATAAAATACCGACACATTAGATAGAAACATCCGCTACGTCACTAAAAACTAAAGGGATCATGATGCCTTCCGATTAGCAGAGAGGCTACGATCAAGACGTTCTTACCGCAGCCCTCTCCACACAGCTCTCAAGTCCTACCTCGTCGCTACATCACTGCACTTAAAACTCTAGCAGAAGATAACTAATATCAGAATTACCAATGTTGACAAAGGAAGTGTCGTCGTCGTCTTCAACACTACTGACTACAGACCGAAGATGCTTAATCTACACATCGACCCGGACATCTACGAGTCTCTCTAAGGTATACAAGTGGACAACTTATCAAACTTTCCTATGCCAAACTTGGCACATCCTAAGCAACTCAGAACTAGGAAATAAACTTTTACACCATTCCCAGCAACCACAGATCCGCCAGAATGTATGGCTTGCCGAAGATACAAACTAGGATTTCCACTGAGACCCAACTCCTCTGGAATAGGCAGCGTCCCTCATCAATTATCAGGGATTCTAGCCAAACACCTAACAAAACACTTTGGCACCATCAGTCACGCACATTTAAAACATTCTGATACTCTCTTCAACGACTCCCGAAACACAAACATCAGAAACAAGAAACTCTCCAATTTAGACATAGGTGGTTGCAACATGGTGATTGCAACTAGTGTGGAAAATACTGTATAAATTTTCCAGAAATACAGTAGTTATATGTAAATAGATGGCCATACTGTATTTAATAACATTTATGTCATAGAAAATGGGAAACTGAGCCTGGGGAGAAGGGACAGTCGGCATTGTTAATTTGAATTGGATACAACGTCAGTGTAATGGGAAGGAATTTTCGTGCTCTAGAGGTTAAAATTGGGTTGACACCTCTCAAATAGGAGGCGAAATTGTTGGATGTGCAGTCCTGCATAACTTGAGATATCAGGCGACTGGACAAGACAGCTCCAGGAACCTCAGATAAGTCTGTTATGTTATAACTCTGGCCAGTTGTTATTTTCATGTATAGACAGAGGTTTTCTGAGTATGATACATTAATCTCCAGTCAAATTGGTGAGTGATATTAAGATATATTTTCCTTCTGTTATGTAATTGTGTGTATATATATATATATATATATATAATATATATATATAATATTATATATAATATATATATATTATATATATATATATATATATATATAATATATTATATATAACCATTTATTATTAATTTAATATACAGTCCACAAATTTTTTTTACCAGAATTCCTGGTGAGGTATCTTTTATTTATAATTAATAGGTCCAGAGCAACTTGTGGATATGACAGTGGTAGGTATCGAAGGGGGACATTTTTTGCGACCTAGGTGTCCCAAATTCCTACTTGTCTAACTGATAAATAATAATTATCTTTGTTCATTTACTGTTATGTATATAATGATACATTCAGCTAAATGCAATTTTCCACAACTAGTTTAGTGGTTTAATGAATTAGGTTGTTGGTAATATTATAATGATGATATTAGTGGATGATAGTTGATAATAATGATAGGTATGGCATTAAAATTAAGAATAGCCTAGTTATGAAGATGATAATAATGACATTTGCAAATAATAATGATAGGAATGGCATTGAATCAGGTTGTTGGTAATATAATGATAAAAATAAAGATATTAGCGGTTAGTAAGTAAGTAAGTAAGTAAGTAAGTAAGTTTATTCAGGTATACACAAATACAGTTACATAGAATTATCATACATAGCAGCATGTGTGTAGAGAACCTAGGATAACCCAAAAAAGTCAGACAGAGTGACTTATGGCATTCAAATTAAGAATAACCTGGTTTGGATGATGATAATAATGCTATTAGAGGATAATAATAACAGGAATGAAATTAACATTAAGAATAGCCTAGTTATTATGAGAAAGGAAGCCTGAATAGGAAAATTCACACAGGCATATTAACTGACATCATGGTACGCCCTTCGGTCTGTCGCGAATGTTGATATTTAATATGTTAGGTTTGTCGTCGGTATGACTATTGAGGCCTAACCTGTCCAGGTACAGTGGCACAAGGTACACATAGATGATTGTACCATTGTGATTACAACTAGTTTAGGGGTTTATTGAGTCATGCTGTTGGTAATATTATAATGATGATAATAATAATGATATTAGAGGATGACAGTCGATAATAATGGCAGGAATGGCATTAAAATTAAGAATAGCCTAGTTATGATGACTAATGATATTTGCTGATAAGAATGGCATTGAATCAGGTTAGTAATATTATAATGATAATGATATTAGCGGATGATAGGTAATAATAATGATAAAAATGGTATTCAAATTAAGAATAGCCTAGTTATTATGAGAAAGGAATAGAAAAATTCACACAGGCATATTAAATGACACTGCCAGTATTCCCTGTATGTTCTGGAAGGTTCTGCGACACCGTTGACAAATGAAGGATTTTTTCCCTCTATTTCATTAGTTAGAAGGTTGTAAATGAAGGTATGTAATGATCCAATATTGTAACTTTTTACGCCACATTACCTGTTCTCGGCGGTTAGAAGCTTAGGGCTGGCTATTAACTATCTTCTAGTATTTTCCTCATGCTAACTGCAAACTGTGAGGCCTACCCCCACCCGCCCCCATATGGGGTGTTGGGGGGGGGGGACCGGTGTATGGGTTGGCATCCCGCTTGCCTTCCCCAGACAGTTTGAGACTGGCCGGTGCCTCCACTACCACTCTCTGAAAACTTACTCTACTCCTGTTGCTGTCTTTGCAACATTGCACAGCTCCTGATGATGCACTAAGAAGTGTGAAAGTACTTGAGCTAAAGATTTCCACCCCCTGTGGCTTGTCCTGCATATATATTGTGGAAAAATATTGTGTAATTTTCCCATAATTATATTGTATAATTTTTATAATGTAAATGTACATGATTAACTCATTACTGTTGGTCTAAAATATATATGAAAGTGAAAGAGAACCAACAGTGAGGCTCTGGGCATGTGTTGGGTCGGAAAGAGGACGCCTGGGCAGGTGCCAGTTGTGTGGTTGTGTGGGTATTAGGCCTATGACATGGTGTCTAGTTAACATGGAACCAGGAATTTGGCGGCTCTGACGGCCAAAACGTGATTAGTGATCTCACTTCATAATAGGAAGTATTGTAACTGTTCCCAGTGTATAATATGGGATAGTAAGTTGTCGAAACCACCACAACAGGGTGGTGATAATGGAAAATAGTGAGTGACGCGACGACGCCATGACGAGCGAGTTCGGTGGGGAAAATACCAGTCGATTCATTCCTCACTCATCAGGCTCAGATCTGAATGGATCAACTTCTAATGAGTGTAAATTAATGGGACATCAAGTTGCCTTGTGAATTTAGTTTAAGGGAATGTGTGAAGCGAAACGAGTTGACATTCCTCTAGTGAGAACATGTTGAACTCGTGGCCCTGTTTCGAGGACCACAGAGTTTTTGCGGAATCTCGTCTCCTAAATTGGGACAACCCAAGTGATATCATAGTCCTGCTGGAAGAAGAACCACATCGATTTGGAAGGACATCTAAATCAGAGGAGGAAATAAAGAAAGACAAGGAATGTTGCTTCCTCACCCACAGTTAAGTAAACCTTCTTATTATATCAGACTCATAACTGGCCAGTTAGGTGTTATAATAGGACAGGTACTGTGGGTGGTACAAAGATCTCCAGTGACCACCAATAAAATTGGGTAAGTGGTGGTCTCATTATGTTAAAACGAGTAACCCCTCCCCCCCCCCTCTTGTAATCAGTTCAATTTATCCATACAGTCCACAACTAATGGTAGCGTCATACTTATTGGTGCTATCCAACTTTAATCTATAATACTGGTCTAGATAGATGTGCTTAAGGGGTAAGAGGTTGAAGGAGCCGCTTGGGGCGACCAGGAATGGCTTCAGTTTTCTCAAACGTCTATACAGGGTAATTACTGTAAACAATATATGGTTGTCACCTCCCAAGGAGATTATTTGTATGAATGCAATGACGAGGTTTCATACAGGTAACCTTAAAAAGTGGTGAGAGAGTGTAGAAGGAGAGCAGATGATAGAGTGGGAGAGACACTGTCAAGAAATTTTGCAGAAAATTGGAAAAAAAATTGGAGTGAAATAAACAAGTTAAGAAAGCCTAGGGAATAAATGGATTTGCCAGTTGAAAACAGAGTAGTGGAGTTAGTAGATGGTGAGCTGCAGAAATATTTTGAGGAACTTTTAAATGTTGATGAAGAAAGGGAGGCGGTAATTTCATTCACTGGTCAGGGAGGTATAACATCTTATGAGTGAAGAAGAGCAGGATGTGAGTGTGGGGGAGGTGTGTGAGGC